ACCCAGGATGGATAGACACTAAAAGACAATCACTAAAACATATAATAATCAAGCTCTCCAAAATCAAAGATAAGAACAGGATCTTGAAAGCAGCTAGAGAGAAGAGAAGTGTAACATACAAAGGCAAGCAAATCAGATTAAGCTCGGATTTCTCAACAGAAACCATGCAGGCAAGAATGCAATGGGGAGAAATATATAAAACCCTGAAAGAAAAAAACTGCCACCCAAGAATCCTCTACCCAGCAAAGCTGTCAATCAAATATGATGGTGTAATCAAAAATTCCAGGATCCAATAGAAGCTAAGAGATTTTGCCAAAGCCAACCCTGCTATGAAAAACATCCTAAAGGAAGTTCTGTGGACTGAGAACCAGCAAGAACACATAACAACGACAGAATGACATACGTGGCAGCATCACCCTGAACCCAATCGACAAATGGAAGAGTCAAGAACAGAATAAAATGATAAGAATAGAGGATCTGGGAGGTCAGTCTATGATCAAAATAATTACAATGTGAAAGAAGATAAACACAGAGGAACAGAGATCCAGGTGGTGGGAAGGTCAGGTAGATTACAGGATAAAATAGACTGTCTTAAATGGAGAGTAGATCTAATGGGATATAAGGTAACCACATTGGGGTTGGGTGGAGGGTTTTATTTTGGGGTTGGGGAGGGCAATACAAGAAGGGGGGCGGAGGCGGAAGAAGAACATAGACAGGGGAACACTGAGACAGATTTGCATGTGGGACATTGCTAGTGGGACATTGCTAGTAAATAGTGATGCATACTCAACCTTGGAACAACAGGGCTCTGGGACACAGGGGTCTAGGCATAGCTTGAAGAGGGGAAATAATACTAAAATCCTTGACTGCTTTATGAATATTAGTTTCCCTTGCCTACTATTGTAAAATATTCTATCTTGAGCGGGATAGAAAGGAATGTTGGGAAACATGATTAGAGAAAACTTGTAAGTCCACCTTCAGCCTATAACTGATTAGAATACCTAAAAGGGGTTCTACAACTTGCCCAGTGAAACAGGCCTCGTGCAAAGCCTTTACAGAGTATAGGACCTTAGGTGGAATCCTGAGCCCCATCCAGAACCTTATGAGGTGGGATATTCCCACTAGAAAGGACAAGCAGACTGGAACAGCTACAGTGACAGAAGATACATCTTCAAAGAAAGAGCATCAGGAAAAACCCAAAACAAAAATGTCAGCATGACTGGCTATTACAAGAATAAGCAAGCTGTTCACCAGGAAGATATCAAAGCTAACAATCAAGTGCCTTTAGGACAAACTCCCCTCTAAGACTGAAACTCAAAGGTAATACACAACCAAGCATGTAAGCTTGCTAGCAACCACATTGGTCTACTGATGAGAGGAAAAGGCAGAAAGGCAGCAATGAAGAAATGGGTGAGTTCAACCCCAGTCCACTGAATCCCGTTGACCTGAAGATGAGAGAAAGAAGAGGAAAGGCTGCTTGGTCCAAAGTGTGGTGAGAGAGACCTGAAGACACTTGGGCCCATGGACAAGGACTTAGCCACAGAGGGCTAGAGCTGAGAGTGAAGCATCCAGCTGATATGAAGTGAGGGGAAATGCACAAGAACACCCAAACTTGCATACAGTACCCTTTTGACCTAGCCTCGATGGCTCAATAATCAGAACTCGACTTGAGGAAGATTGAAAAAAAAAAAAAAAAAAAAAATTTTTTTTTTTTGATAAAGGAAACAAGGGTAAATTGCTTCAATTTATTGAACCTGACCTATATATACTCAAGGAGGCAGTTACTCTAAATGCCAACAGAGAGGGAAGGAGTCTTCACATCAAGTGTCAATGCTATCTCCTCTGTACACAGGAGAGATAGGGATGGGCAACTTAGACTTTAGCTACCTAAAATGAGGGGGCAATAAAGGCATGAAGTGATTGGGTTACAAGGTTTCAAGAGGGAGTTTAGTTTAAGAGTATGGGGGGAAAGAAAGAGTCCCCACTGAATAGCTGTCATCTTGTCTAGATGGATCTGGTGAAAAGAGATGGGGGTAAGATTCTTAAGATTCAATAGTGAATAACTGTTATCATGACTAATTGCGACTGTCACACTTGTAAAGGTAGAAGTTTTGTAACAAAAACAGGGGAGTGGTTAATCTTACAGTCCAGAAACAAAGGACCCTAGGACCATCAAGAGAGAAGCGCACAAGCATAATGTGGGACCTTATTCAGAGAAGCAGCAGCAGAGATGGAGGCAGAGATGGGGGCATGGAGAGGGGGAGCGGCTGAGGACTCTAGATTCATGGACTAAGAAGAGAGGGACTAACAGCTGGTAGCCAGGAGCAGACTTGCAGAATGTGCCCTTTGGAGATGTAAATTATAATACATGCCTGAATGGGTTTTTTGTTAGTTTTTAAAAAGCTAAAGTGGATAAAGAGAAATACTGTTAACTGATGGTACATCGAGGGGATTATAATCATTGTAATGAAACAAGGTGTATGATTTGTTCAATGAAAAACTGATGATCTGCCCTGTAAACTTTCACTCAATCCACAATAAAAACCTCAAAAAAAAAAAAAGAATCTATGAGTCCAAATTCTGTGCACCATTTCTTGGGGAAGGCTTTCTCCCTCCTGTGGCTCTAAGAGAAAGCCCTTATCTCCTTTCAGTATCTGGGGATCCTGAGTTCCTTGAAAATCTCCATGTGATCTGGCATCAATCTTCCCAAATTTAGAAGGTTTTCAGCACAGTGGCCCTGAGCACAAAAGACATGCTCCATGCTCCTGATGATAGTTGTTGTTAGGTCCTGTCAAATTGGTTCCGACTCACAGCGACCTTGTGCACAACAGAACAAGACACCGCCTGGTCCTGCGCCATTCTCAAGATTGTTGTTAAGATTGAGCCCATTGCTGCTGCTACTGTGCCAATCCCTCATTGGGGGTCTTCCTCTTTTTCATTTACCCTCCACTTTACCAAGAATGATGTCCTTCTTCAGTGCCTGGTCCCTCCTGATAATGTACCCAAAGTATGAGTGACAAAGTCTTGTCATTCTGCTTCTAAGGAGCATTCAAACTGTAGACCTCTCCATCTCTGCTTGCTTTTTTCTTATACAGTAAGACGGATCATACCCCAAAGAAACTCCTTATATCAAGGCTGTGACTTGCATCCCACCTTAACCACCCTACAACAGTTTGGCTGATCACATTAGATCACGTTATGGGGGATGATTACATTATTACACAACTACCAGATTCTATCACTGCATGGCTGCCAAACCACTGAGAATCATGACACCACTTAGCTGAAAGAGTTTTCAGAGACACAATTCAATCCATGACAGTGGGTCAAGATCAAGTGGTGAATAAGAGGAAAAAGGAAAATGCACAATAGGAAAAACATGAGATTCCTGGATTTTTTTTCTTCCTGCTTACTCTAATTGTAAGGGCTTTTCTCATCAATAACCTATCTAAGTAAATCACTGCAATATTTAAAACACTAAGATTTTTGCAAAACTCATTCTCTGAAACTCTTGGTGGCCCAATAATATGGACCCTCAAAATAACTTAGCGCTTAAAAAAAAAAAGCGCACATAAAAAATAGAAAGAGCAATGCTAAAAAGAAGACATACACTTGGGAGCTGCTTTTCTAGGGTCAATGAGATACAGACCACCCACCTCCTCTCACCACCACCCACCAAGCCTTAGTTATTTAGAAAAGGCAGGGCCAGCCACAGACTTAGATTTTCTTTCCAAACAGCCAAGTGGCACTTGGGGAACCTCTACATTTCTCTGTTATCAGTACTTTCACTAACTCCTGCAGATAAGGTACAAACCTCCACTGAATTGTTGTTGTTGTTAAGTGCCATCGGTTCCGACCCATAGCGACCCTGTACAGGGTTTCCGAGGCTGTAAATCTTTACGGGTGCAGAACGCCTCATCTTTCTCCCGCGGAGCGGCTGATAGTTTCGAACTGCTGGCCTTAAGGTTCGCAGCCTGATTCGTAACTCATTGTAAAAAAACTGTTTCTTAAAACTAGGCATTTCCTTATCATCTACTTTACTCCCTTTGCCCACTCACATCCTCAAATACACCAAGGATAGGTCCCCAAGCAGGGTGTCCAACTCCTCTCTTCCTTTACACTCCTTGGAGGCCTCTGGAGAAATCACCCCTTTGGTTGGTAACTTCCTGAACCTTGTCTATTCAAACTGACACCTATTCAAAACTGCAAGTGAGTCTTCAAGCCAGTTTTTAAAAAGCGAGATTAATAGGGCCCAGGTGGTATGCTCACTCACCCTCAAGTTCCTTAATCAAAGCTAATAATTTAAGACATTTAATTGTCTTAATTATAAGTTAATTAAATCCCTTAGTGAGGATGCTGTGTTGGGGGAGGGATGGAGAGGAGGGAACCCCTACTAAAGGACCCCCATTTTAAAAAAATAGAGGGAAACCTCCAAATTACAAATTTTAATTTCTACATGCTTAAACGCCTGTAAGGATGATGACTTTGAAAGAAATGCATTATTATGTATACTGCATATATAATTGCACAGAAACAAGACTACAAGCATATAGACTCAGGTGCTGTCAATGAGTACCTATATTAAAATATATTCATAGGCATTTTTTAAAACCATACCCTCCTTGGGTGGCTTCCCAGGCTCACGCGGGCCAAATGGTCAGCGTCACGCCGTCCATGTGCCCACTGGGTGGGGACCCCGGCTGTGACACAGACATAGAACAGCAGAGACCCCAGTGTCGTAGTCTCCCCGAGGGAGGCGGGCGCACCAGGTACTCCCCGGATCTCCTCTACCAAGGGTCCGCCCAGCTCAGGCTCAGCTCAGCTCAGCTCAGCCCAGCCCAGCCCAGCCCAGCCCAGCCCTGTCCTGCAGCACCGCAGGCCGCGGCCCTGCCACCGCACGACCCCAGCGCAACCCGCCAGGCCATGAGAGCAGCCGTGTAGGGACCTAGCCCGGGCAAAGAAACGCGGGGCAGTTAGGCGGGCGTGGGTCCCAGACTCACCATGGCCGAAGAGCCGCGAACGCGCCCACAACCCCGAGTCACCCGGCGCTGGCGACGCCCGTTGTCCTGGTGACGCCAGCCCGGCGCCCCGCCCCGTACCCAAAGGTGGGCTTGGAAGCGGCCATTGGCAGTCTGCGAACACATGACCTTTAAGGGGCGGTGCCCTTTGACCGCCCCGCCCCTGACTCTTAGGCGGGGTCTCTCTTATCCTTTTCTTCTGGACCATCCTCACCTTGATGCAACTCACCTGACAGATAATGAAGCTGGAAAACTGCCCAGCTGAAAGCTATTTTAATGGAATGTCGTTATTTTAAAAATTACACAGGTAATCTGATTTTTGATATTTTGATTATTGAAGACATTTTAAACTACCAATAACAGAAGAATTAAAAAAATAAACCCATTATAAATATTGGCACTTGATATGACTTGACCATGGCTCATATTCTAACCTGCTTCTAAGCTTCCAATGCAAATGTATATTACACGGCAACGTATTATATACTTTAAAAAGGGCAAATCGTGCACATTGTTTTATAATCAACTTTTTCCCAAGAAAATGATTATTTTTGCTGGTCAGTTTATTTATCAAATGTGGTGGTTGTGTGACGGTTCTGAGACGGTGACACGGTTCTGACTCACCGTGACCCTGAACAGGGTTTCCTAGGCTGCAATTTTTCACGGCATCAGAGAACCTCATCTTTCTCCTGCAGAGCACCTGGTGAACACGAACTGCTGACTTTGCTATTTGCGTTGCCCACTAGGTCAACAAGACTCCTTTTCTCCAGTACTATCGTTATGTGTTGCACTGTGGCTTAATGCACCAGACAGCAAAGACGCTTGAACTGCAAGGTTGGCAGTCCAAGCTCACCAGCTGTTCCTCAGAAAACCTACACAGGGTCACTATGGGTCAGAAACGACTCAGAAACAACAACATTGTTACGTGCTGTCAGTCAGTTACCTATTCATAGCAACCCTTTATAGGGTTTCTGAGGCTTTTAAATCTTCAAGGGATTAAAAACCTCATCTTTTTTCCAGCGGTGCGGCTGGTGGGTTTGAACAACAGACTTTGTGGTTTGCAATCCAGTGCTTATCCTATGGAGCCACTGCCCTTCTCTGTCTAAAATGGTGACTGGTGGTTTTGTGCCATGGAGTCGGTTCGACCCATAGTGACCCTGTACAGTGTTTCCGAGGCTGTAAATCTACGGGAGCAGAAAGCCTCATCTTTCTCCCGCGCAACAGCTGGTAGTTTCGAACTGCTGACCTTGCAGTTCGCAGCCTGATTCGTAACTAGAATTTACTATGTCTTTAAATCCTGCCCATTTTGTTTGCGAAGAGGGAAACTTCTCAACCTTAGCTTCCCTCCTCTCCCAGGCCTTTTCATTGATTTCCATGCCTTGTTTAAGAAACATCCCTCTTACCTTCTCACCTCCTAGGTTATCTCAGTCAATTCCTGACAGTAAATGCCACCTGTATCCTCTGGGATACCTTCATTACACATTCTGCCCTAAGCATCATAATAAACAACTGACTTGATATCTCGCTTGAATGTTTAATGGAGTCCTGGTGTGGCACTGCAAGTTAATGTGCTGGGCTGCAACATCAATTTGAACCTAAAGGTCAGACGTTCAAGCTCACCAGGCACTCCTCGGAAACCCTATAGGGTCGCTATGGGTTGGAACGACTTGATGGCACTTAACCACCACCACAACAACCTAATGCATGGTGCCTTAGATAAGCACTGGACCACTAAGTCTGTTTGAATCACAAGGTCAGTTCAAACTGTTGTGGTGAGTCCTGATGTGACGCTTCAGCTTCAAGTTAATGTGCTGGAATGCAAGGTCGATTTGAACCTCAAGGTCAGAGGTACAAGCTCACCAGCTGCTCCTCAGAAGCCCTATACAGGGTCGCTCTGAGTTGGAAACAACTCGACAGCACTTAACACTACCAACAACAACAACCTAATACGATCCAAATAAAACTCTTAATCCAGGTTTCTTGTCTCTCAGTCTTTCTCATCTCAGCAAATGTTCTCACTACCCTCTCTGTTGTTAGGAGTCATTCTTGATTTCTTTTCTGCTTTCTTAACATCTTGCATCCAATCCATTAACAAATATTCTAGATTCTTGGCTCCACCTAAAACAAATTCTGCATCTATACAATTCTCACTATCTCTACCTGATAGCCACCATCTCTGCTCTAAAACTCGCCTTTGCACTTCATGTCTTTCCTTTATAGTCTGTCTACATAACAACAGCATTTCATTGACTTTTTTTCATTTGTTGTTGTTGTTATGTGCCGTGGAGTCGGTTCTGACTCAGCGACCTTGTACAGGGTTTCCGAGACTGTAAATCTTTACAGGAACAGAACGCCTCATCTTTCTCCTCATGGCACTTAAAAATTCCCAAATGCTTCCTGTGGTCCTTCATCATGGGGACCTTACCACACTAATTTCATATCCTGACACTCTTCTCTCATTCACTCCATTGGTGGTTATGTGCCATGGAGTTGGTTTCAATTCATAGCCACCCTGAATAGGGTTTCTGAAGCTGTAAATCTTTACAGGAACAGAAAGCCTCATCTTTCTCCTGCAGAACAGCTGGTAGTTTCGAACTGCTGACCTTGAGGTTAGCACCCTGACTCATAACCACAACGCTACCAGACCTAGTACAAATTTATTTCCTAAGATTCCTCAAACATGTTAAAATACTTGTTTGCTTAAGGGCCTCAGAAACAACTATTTCCTTTATTGGCAATATTCTTCCAGAACTTCACACAACCCATTCTCTCATTTAATACATCTCCTCAAATGTCATGTCTTCCCATAAGCCTTTATTGGCCATTTAATCTAAAATATCTCATCTAAGTCACTCTCTCACATATGTTGTTGTTCTTAAGTGTCGTCAAGTTGATTCTGACTCATAGTGACCCTGTATAAGGTTTCCAAGGAGTGGTTGGTGAATTTGAGTTGCCGACCTTGTGGTTCAAACTGACTTTGTAGTCCAGTGTTTATCCCACAGAGCCACACCAGGTATCCTCTCTCACATATACCTCAGTTCAATTTGCAAAATATTTAGTCCTCCACATTTCTTTCTAATGTTTTGTTATTTATTACCTGTAACCCTCTTCTTCTCCCAGAATGTAAGTTCCATGTAAGCAGAAACTCTGTCTATCTTATCCTATCTCTGTATTATGACTGTATAGAACAGTTCCTGGCATATACAACTGGCTCTGGAAAAACAGTGTTTTGAACTTTGAGGGCCCACTTACATGAGGATTTTTCCCCACTTCAATGTATATAAGCAAAGTGTTTCAAATATGCACTTAAAACACCTTGTTATGTTAGTCATTGTGGACAGTTTGTTTCTCCAGTTAGGGAGATGGGAAGGTGAGGGTCTAGCAGTTACTGGAGACAAAACTGTGCGAGATTAGTGTCACATGATAATTTAAGTGCGTACTCACAACACTTGAACTCACCTCAATAACAAAAGAGAAAAAAATCCGTGTATAAGTTTGTCAGGTCATTTCAAACCACTGTTGTTCAAGGGTCAACTGTAGTAGGTACTCAGAGACACTGATGATTGATTTAATCAATCAATGACTGGCTGAACATCTGACCTAGAACTAGGTGTTCAATTTGAAGATAAAAATAAGAATGAAAATACAGATTAGAAACTGAAAAGTGAAAGGAAAAATTGCAAAGCAAAAACAAATAAATAAATAAAAATCAGGAGTAGGGATAAAAGAAAACTAATAACATGTACAGTTTTAAAATAACATGAGAAACATAGAACATCATCAACAACCCAGAAGCTACTTGTATGTCCTTTGCCAATCTTAAATGCCCCCTTTCCTCCTAGAGAAGATCACTATTTTGATATTTATGGAAATCAGTTTCTTGCTTTTCTTTATAATTTTTATAGTTCATTCATTTATATTGCTATAAAACTTTTATAAAACTCACAATATAAAGTTTCCAAGTCTGTAAATCTTTATGAGAGCAGAAAGCCTCATCTTTCTCCCATGGAGTGGCTGCTGGGTTTGAACTGAAGACCTTGTGGTTAGCATTCCTGTGCTTATGCTACAGTGCCACCAGATTCCTTCCTTATGAATATACAAGGATATATTTAACCATTCTACTAAAGTCTTGAAGAGCAAAGATGTCAGCTTGAAGACTAAAGTGTGACTGACCCAAGCCATGGTATTTTCAATAACCTCATATGCATGCAAAAGCTGGACAGTGAATAAGGAAAACCACAGAAGAATTGATGATTTTGAGTTATGGTGTGGGAGGAGAATATTGAAAGTACCATGGGCTGCCAAAAGAACCAACAGATCTATGTTGGAAGAAGTACAGCCAGAGTGCTCCTTGGAGGCCAGGATGGCCAAACTTTATCTCTCATACTTCGGACATATTGTCAGGAGGGGCCAGTCGCTGGAAAAGGATACCCCCAGAGAACAGACTGGCAAAATGGCAGCATCAATGGGCTCAAGTGTGGCAACAATTGTGAGGTTGGCCCAGGAGTGGGCAGTGTTTCATTCTGTTATGCATATGGTCTCTATGAGTTCAGTACTGATTTGATGGCACCTAACAACACCAACAACCGTTGATGGACATTTGGGTCATTTGTTTGTTTATGGCTACCATAAACAATGCAGCTTTGAAAATTCCTCTATTGCACATGGTTTCTCCATTTCTCTAAATCAGGGTTTCTCAGTTCAGCACTTTTACAATCTAGAGTCAGGTGATTCTTTGTTGGGGGGGGGGGCTGCCCTGTGCATTCTAAGATGTTTATTAGCACCCCTGGCCGCTACCCACTAAATGCTACTAGTTTTATATCTCCAGTTGTGAAAAATGTTTCTAGGCATTACCAAATGTCTCCTGAGGATCAAAATTGTCCCAATTAAGAACCACTTTTCTTGTGTATATATTGAGGAGTAAAATTGCCAGTTTACATGTCTTCAGATTTACTACATAGTACCAAAGTGTTTTCCAAAGCGACTGTACCAACAAACATTGCTACCAGTAATTTATGAGAGTCTCCAATATTACATTCTTGCCAACTCT